TCGTAGGAATGGCAATGGTTCTTGTTGTTTTTTCAAACACAAGTATTAAACAAAGCGGATAACTTAATGTCAATACCAAGGTAGTCCTTACAAGATGTACATTTGCTGAAAGAGACTAATTAATTGTAATCATCGATGTCAACGATGGTGGAATTCAAACCTTTGCAAACAAAATAGATTAAATGTTACTCCCAGGTAATAAACAAATGTAAAGTAGAACTCAGAGTGAAAGATTTCTTATGAAAAATCTATATTTTTGATTAACACTATCTTTGCTAATATTCTATAGATTTATGAGCCAAAATTAAGAGGGCTGCTGGTTTTCAAATAATGTTATTATAGTGACCTTCATTTTTGGGGATATTTCTGACAAGTAAAAAAATCAATTCAACAATATTGAAACTGATGTTCAATGTTCACTGTCAGTTACAGTCATCAAACACATGTAAAACATATATAGATTATACTTAAGAAAGCTTAAATTAGTGGAAAACACATAATCATCAAGATGTTTGTTTTCAGTAGTTTTCTCAATAATGTACACCCAGGCGGCCTGCTTGAATATCTAGGCTACCTGTTCCTGCCATCTAGATTTTTCAACAAGTTATATGCTCTATTGTTTGTTTTAACAGATCATTATGTCAATTAATTGCATAAACTATTCAGGTGTGTTTGTGAAAAGTTCATGACCTTTCGTTGTACAAGTTACAAAAATTTACAATCGGAGATATCATGATGACTGGCAATGTGCATTAAAAAGAATGAATATTATTCAGATGTCGACTTCTGAAATGCTTTTAACAAGCGATCAATCAGTATTTATCGTCAATATCGATCAAGAAGTAAGAAACGGAAACTTGTTGAAATACTTTGTGCCGAGAATTCTCTATTGTAGAAAAAATATAATAGTGAATAAAGCCAATAATAATAAAAACAGTCCTAAACTTTAATAGTTACCAAATAAATTTGTCTAAAATAGTAAAACATCTTTTACACTCAGTTAGTCAAGTGATTTTTAAAAAAAAATTGTTATAATTAGATTTGTCTAGAAATGAGGGATACTACTGTTTATAGTTTAGAATGTTTTTATAAAAAAACTTTTTCACTTTAGATTATTTGCTGTCTGTTCTTGTTGGTAGGATTAAGCATTCCATTCGACATATGTCAACTTAATCATATACCATTAAAGTAAATTTGAAAGTGTATGTTTAGTTAGTAAGGAGTGGATCAAAATGTCACTAACGGTATTTTATAATTCACCGTCCATATTCAATATGCTCAAATAGAGTTACCTAAGTAAACAATCTGTATAAGCATAAGTAGCTAGCTTTGAGATACGTTTCTCATCAAGATATACCTGTAATCTTGAGGGGATTCGCACCCTTTAGTGGATCTGATCAGGTTTTCAGTCCGATGTGTTACCACTGAGCTATTTGAACCATGATAGAGCTCCCATTGAACATAGATGTATTTACAACTTTTTGATCACTGAGTAATGACCAGCTCAGCGACAACATCTCTAACTGAGAAGGTGAGTGGTAAGGGATGATTTACTAGAGAGCACTACTTCTCTCAAGATTACAGGTACATCTTTATGACCAGTACCAAATAGCACGAACTCGATATCCAATATTTTTTTCCGAACACCTCCAAACACTATCCAGCAGAAGTTAACCATTTATGATGTCGGCTTCTAACTGGGCTATAGTGTGAGTTAAGTAAATTCAGAATGTACATCGTTTGACTTACACTCAGTCTATCATAAATATACCGTTGATTAGCCACTAATCTGATCTCACCATATGATGAAATTAACGTTAAAACACAGTCTTCATATTCATTATTAGTTAAATTTTCATCATCATTCTTATGAATTATTACATTCTGTCATGGATAGATACTATATATTTGAAATTCATAAATCATGTTACGATTGTGAATGCACACTATTAACTATCCACACACTAGGATGAAATAGCTATTAGGTACTGTTTGATTTCCAGTGGCTATTCAGTTAACAGAAATCTGCGACGTAAACGTACTTTATTTAATCTCCACAAATCCGTCAATAAATATTTACTACTGATTTTAGTGAAAAGAAAATGAAATCTCTTTCCAAATTGACTTTGATTAATTTGAATCATGGTTAGTTTCGATTTTTTTTTAAAGATTATTCAGTGGTTTCAAATAATATCGAATTTTCTAGCACTTCCAACAGTGCAAACCTTATTTTCAATAGTCTCTTAACATTATAATTTTAGCTTTCATCTTCATATATTCTTTCAGCAGACTTTCTTCACAGTATCATGTCAGATAAGTCATTTGCAAACAACTGTTAGTGTTAAATAAAATTTTCACACTAGTCTCTATTTTATAGGAAGTATGCATCCCAAGACACACGATACTTCAATCAGTAAATATATAACTAAAATACATTCAACACAAAATAATATGATTTTTTAAATTTTAACTGACCTCTTATTACCGCCAGTAACGGGTTGTGGAAATTGTTGAATTTCATTAAAATCAAGAACCAGTTTAAGTCAAACAATTATTGAAAACCTAAAAGTACTGAACGACCGATTCGTTCTTGTAAGGTGCGCCATAGACATCCGCATCTATGATCCCGTGCAAAAAAATCGAGTCCACTACCTTCGGTCTGACACGTGAATGCTTGTCATCTAGACGGCTGAGTCAGCATCCAGTGGTGTACAAGCCGAACTTCAATCAAGTTACGATAGTGATTGACAGTCTTTTATTGTCTTCAGTGAGTAACTGCCTCACACCAAACACGGATTAGTTCTACTGGTCATGGTTTCTCAACAGAACTCCAGAAATTTCTTCTCAAAACTAGTCACAAGTGAATGCATGATAATTCCCAGTATGAAGTTGGGGAGATCATTGAACTTCGTCACAACCACGGTTCGTGACCAGTAGGGTCGCTCACTATCGTAAATTGATTGAAGTTAGGCTTGTACACCATTGGATGCTGACTCAGTTGTCTGGATGATAAGCATTCGTGCGTGAGACTGAAGGTAATGGAATCGATTCCTTTTCAAGGCATCATAAATGCTCACATTTGGTTTTCAAGAGTTATCTAACTTAGATCAGTTTTTGAATTCAATGATCTCTTTTATGTTTCAAAGCTTGTTCAATATTAACCATATCAATTTTAATTCCTTTTAATTCATAATTTTTTATTTAACTTTTGACATCAGTTGAAAGCTTTATTTTTTAAACAGTTTAAAGTAATGTACTATATTTCTGTTGATTTATCATTCTACAAATAATATACTGAAAAATTTGTAAGTTTGCTGTGTTTAAATAATTGTCAGCGATAATTGTGTGTCATGAAAAAATAAATGAACAATTGATATAGTACTATTTACTTTCAATCTTTCTTACTTTTTGATAACTTTACATTTGTCAAAATGAATGCTAATAGAGTGAAATAATATTACACTCTATTAGTGGGAAAATATCTGGAAAATAAAACTAGGAAACTGTTTCTAGGGTTTACTAAATATATATGTATATATAGTGACTTGTTTAAATACAATATTAGTAGTCAAATAAATGGATGTATGTGTACTAGTACAAATTGTCTGTACTGTTGTATAACAAGCTACAAATTGTAACTGCCCATACATTTTGTGTCTGTCAGTCTTCGATCATGTGACGTCATATTTACATATGAACACAAAGCGTAAGAGAGACGAATAGGAATAGTATAGTATTCAAAAGAATTATAGATATGTGTTTATGTGAAACAAATATTCAGCTTTATAGGATTGAAGATAAACAGACTAAAATTTCTCTCGTTCTCTCACTCTCTGTGTTTCTCTTTTATTTTTTCTCTCTCTCGCATTACAGTAAAAGTTATCGGTCAGTAGAAGTGATGCTGTGCGGTTAATATTTATTTTTTCTATTCCTAAAGGTGTTTTCAAGTCTATCGATATGCACTGATTTTTATTTGTTAGTAAATTATAAACTAGTTTTAGTTAATTGATTGGTTAGTTTAGTATTGGTGGTTAACTATATGTTTTCACTTCTTCCTTGTGTTCATCCCACCTACCCGTACTTTTTTTTATTGTTGTTTGTCTTTTTCTTTCTAATTGTACTCCTCTTTCTTCCTTCTCTTCTTCTTCTTCTGGTTGTCGTTGACAATGTTTCCATTATATATATACATATATATTAAATCTTACTACGAAAAATTTTGCACAGATAACAGAGAGCATAACCTATTTAATTGGTATACTTAACAAATATATAAAAAACGAAGATTCATTCATTCTAAACGTGTACAACACTATCACTGTTGATTAATCTAAATCACAAAAACATTGTATCCATATCAATAGGTACATACATACATATGCGTATCATTCAAATGACTAATATTTCTATAATGCCATTTAAAAAAATAATAATTTTCTTCCAATAAATGTTTACCTATCATGATTATATATATGTAACCATATCTATGTATATATTAGAAGAACGTACTAAACTGTTCAACTTGTAAGCATTATTAATCTAGGACAATTCATTGAATAAATACACTTAATACATCCATCCATTATCAAAATAAGTTATTACAATTTATATATATACAATGAATATATTGCTCACTCATTTATAAAGTACTTTACAATAGAACAAAATGATATTCATATTATAATGTTTGTTTAGAATCAATGAGTATGCATATTGATCTATTCACATATCTATCTATTTCAATGATTCAGTTTAGTATTATATCGCTCCTTGAAAATTCATTTTATATAATGAAGAAAAAAGCCCCAATTATTTATTATTATTATTATTAAAAGAATGAATTTTAAAGAATAAAATTTGAAATAATTTCCAATTGAACACATTGAATCAAATAAATCATTGTTTTTTTTTGTTCTTTTCTTTGTTTTGTTTTTCTTTTTTTTCTAGAAAATATTCTTCCAGTATATAGTTTATTAGAAAGATTACCCATTAATAATAATAATAATATTATTATTATTATGTACTACTATGTATATATCAATAGGCTGTTTTATTTAGAATTGAAATGTTTCAAAAATTTTCATTTATATTCTTATTATTAACAGTCTATTTCATTATACAATTTAAACAAAGAAAACAACAGAAACTTAGAAGTATGGAAATTATTGGACCACCTTTTTAAAAACATTATGATTATGAATATTATTTAAAGGAAACAAAATAAAACGATATTAATTTCATTTATTTATATAACAATTAAAACTTTATCATATTTGTTTTGTGTATAAACAATTTGTGAATGAATAGTTTCTTATCAATTGTCATGTTAACATAATTTAATATATTTTTTAATTTATTCATCATATGAATCCGGATACTGTATTAAGAATTGGTAAAGTATTTGAAACTCCATATGGAGGTGATGGAGTTGATTTTGTGGATCAATTAAATTATCAATTTACTGGTGGATTGTTGATTATTTTTATAGCTGTTATTGGAGTAAGACAATATGTTGGTAAGTTAATCATAGAAAATTTTATTTAAATGTAAATGTGTAATTAAATGATTATGATTTTTTTGAGATTGGATTTCTTAATAACCATTTTTAGAATTTTATAAATTCATTCATTATATTATTTTCAATATGACTAAGGTGGGTTTTCTAACTAAAACATAATAATTTCTATTTTCACTGTATCAAACATGACTTGAACATGTTCCGTTTAAAAGGAATACATTCATAATTTATTAAATGAATATTAAATAAATGAGAGAATTCTTTAGAAAACAAATTTATCTTCCAATGTAAATGTAGTACAAAGTACATTGGTTGATCATTGAATAGTGAATGATCAATGCCAAATTTATCTAGTCCCTAGTGTTGGTAGAATTCTACCGATCAAGTTGAAATATGCTCACTAGTCATAATAACTCTGTATCTTGTGCACTATTTAGATCTAAGCTGGTTAAAGGTAGTCAGCACGAACCTGCACTTACCCGTAATGCATAGTAATAGCGTCTTAGATTACGAAACTGGAGGATATTAATTTAGTTTATTAGGGTTAATAACCTGCTTCTAGATTACGGCAGGTATATTTTGCTGTCAAGTGTCAACCAGAATGAAATGTAGGTATCAACGTTTCTTGTCAAATATCTTCAGCGACCTGTAAACAAAATATTCCAAGAGTTTAGTTTTAATGTGTATTATACAGTGATAATTAATATTGTGTTAATGGATAACTTTCGTCATCAAAAACATAAGTTTATATAAAACTTATAAAGTTCATTAGGATTATGTGATATTTTGGCCCATTTACCTCAGTTCGTCAGTCCACTTCGAAACTAAAGTTGAAATTAATTTTTCCATAATATCAAACCAAAAAGACTAAAGTTAATCTGGGTTTCTTAATGGTCTATAGTATTGTAATTTTTCGAGCAAAAGCACAGTTATGAACTGGCTGGTTTTGTGCTGACCTTACCACATCAACAAAATCTATCACAAAACCTGGTAACGGTACAAACGATATTAAATAACATTGGGGAATAAGAAAGCATTCGATTGGTCCTGACTGTAATAGGCTCGCGATTACCGAAGACGGACTGCTTAGACTAGTATGGTGCCTACAATATTAACTTTGACAGCTATCCGGGACCTAAATGAGGAGTTGGAACAGCGAATTCAAGGAAAATAGGCTAGTTCATGACCAGATTTTGAATGTACTGAATATATATCTTGCTATTCAAAATGTTCTGCAACACCAAGCATTAATTACTTCTTAAGTTGTCTGCATTATTCGAACTCATTATTCAAGATTTTCTGCTAGATTGTTTATCACAGTTGTTGTCTAGAAGGAGTCTCTTTACTCGGAAGCTATTGAGTGAAATCCTATAGCTCACTATTGTCAATGCTGGTGACGTTAAGAGGTGTTTAATACAACTGTTCTTTTTGCACCCTTACATTAACGTTCTCAATGAATAAGCTCTAAAATGCAACATTTTCTTTGATTGATATAGAAAGGACCGACTAAGTTTTCATTTTTATTAGGTGAAGTACGCTGAGAAAATACTTGAAAAATTTGAACCCTTGACAACTACAGTCTTCTGAGATTTTTTAGTGATAATGTTTACGATAACTTTCTTACGTCAATAGACAAATTAGTGCATCAAGACGCAATCACATTTAAGTCCAACGTTTTGATCTCACTAGGATAGATACATTTAGTATTCACCTCTATTCATATCGTTAGTATGAATAATAGTTCTTAATTCTCACTTTCCATATTTTTCTCTTCCTTGTTTTTATTTCAAGATTCTATGTTGTTTATGACTTATTGTAGCACCAGTATTTATCATAACAAATTTATTCAAAACAACTGAATCAACTGATAGACCAGAAATTTAGTTAGATCAAACGCATACATTTGATCTAAGGAAATATATTTATTAGATTATTCATTATTTTTGACAGTTTACAATCGTTTAACATAATGCAAATGAAACTAACTTGTCAGTTTTAAAGCAGATATAATCATAGGTTTGATGATCTATTATCAAAGAAACGAAATGTTTGAATATCAGGAGATAAAATGCAAAATAATACATAACCTATTTATCTCTTTCAGTCTTAACTAATTATTACAATATTAAATTAGTTTGATAGTATTTATTTGAATACTGTGGTTAGTGAATTCAGTAATACGAAAATATGTGAAATTGATATGTATGTCTGTAAATCGAACTACTACTGAATTCACAGCTTGACTTATACTCGCACGTATATACAATACCACTCATCCATTCACAGATTATATAATCAAATAAAATTTAAAGTTTTAAAAGCTATGAAATACCTAAATATTTCATCTGTCAATCTGTTAAGCTCTTCCTTCCATCAGCTTCATTATTGTTTTTAGTACTAGTATTATTATTAATAGTAGTATCATTATTTATCCTCATTGTATTACCTGTTTTATCTAATGTATACTATGAAAATATTATTAAATAAACGGATTAGACTAATTCATTATTTATCAGACTGTCAAGTTTTGCCTAATCACGTGTTAATACTTAGTAACCTACGGTGAATTTATCGATTACTTAAGATTTACTTTATTTTGTTATTTCACTGACACATAAACAGTCAATCCAAATCTGCTTAGCAGATTATCACGGAATGTATATTTAAAAAAAAGCAAATAATTTATACGTGTATACAGTTTCATATCATGCTCCAAGTAATCTTAATTTGAATTAAACACGTAAACCATGGACAATTTGATGCATCTTAATTTCTAAATACATTTTAAGGTAAATGAAGTACTTTTAATTTATAGAAAGTAGAATTGAAACAGCAGGTGTCTATAAAAGTCTGTTTGATAATATAAGGTTATTATTTGAAATTTCCATTAAACATGTACCTAGGGATAAATGTTCAAATAACTCTGTCAGTTTTGGTATCAGTTAACATTTTTGTATCAATTAAAACCATTTCATATAATATTAGATTATAAATGAATGTGTGTATTATAGACTGTTAATAGATTTATCAAAACAACAGGATATTTTTGTCTAACGAAAGTTTTTTTTCCAGTCCTAAATCGCTACTTATAAAAATGATATTACTTTTTTTAAAACACTGACAAACTATATTTGCAATATTCCATTACATATAGGAAGACATTAAAAAATAGTTTTTGAGTTTAAACAAAACGATAATAAAGTTTTCTAATACCCATCGTAAACTTTAAATAGTAAAGGAAAGGTAAATAATTAAATATTAGTTCCTTGTTTCTAACAGTTTCAATATTTACAAGTATATCCATCTGATGAAACTTGAGCAGGACGAAATGAATATCTTAGATTGTCCTCTTGACCTTTAATTAAAGTACACTACAACTTTTATATAAAGCTAATGTTGAGAATATACATGCGTTAGTAGAGGTTGATAAAATGAAAAAACAACCAGCTATCATGATAAAAGTGATAAATAAAATAATATCGGACTGCAATATTATTGTTTCATTATTGAATTTAAAGAATATTTCATTGTTATAGTATTTACCGTCCATAATTTAAACGTTTTACAGGTAGACGTGCAGACCGTCAAATCAGTCAAAAAGAGACTTCCTTGGTCATATATATAATATTAATCCAAGCTGGTTCAGATAAGCTGGGAAGTTACTTAAGATGGTGGTGTTTGAACTTAACCAATTAGAGTTTATAGATAATAACTTGCATACAAATAGATACACTGTATGATTACTTAACACATTCAAAAGTCTTTTTATTGTTTAACTACAAATTTAGTCCAATGAGTCTGATAATTCTCAATAGAGAACAATTCTTCCATCAGAACGCTCTCAAATGTAGTTATTTTATTTAGTTCGTTTACAAATAAGAAAATAATGAAGGAAGATATTATTTCACTTTTTCAATACATGCTTGAGTAGTTGAATAAGGATTTTTGTTTAAATTAACGATAAATTTTATCAGTAATTTACATCAGAAGGAAAGCTAACAAATGTGCATTGCTGAATTGCTTTTCATTCTTGTTTGTTACTCTGCATTATTAACAGTTTACAATCATATATGACATCAAACTAAGCATCTTTAAAACTCTTATTAAACATGAGATATTTAAGAAAATATGTAATCAATTACTGGCTAATATTTCCGACTGTAATTCATTTATGACAAAGTGGAGCCTTCTAAGAACTACTTTATAAAGCCGAACTCCATCAAGTATTCAAGTTAAAATTTGCTCATTAACTACACAATATTCACAAATGATACGATTAGCTTCCTAATGAATTTCAATATAACCATACACTTTGGAGATCTGAATTTTTTAGTCTCAATCCCATATATAGTTTTTAATAAGTATTTCTATATATTTGCACTCAACAATAATATATTTGTTTTGTGCTCCTTTGCTGATGTCTTCCATAATTGAGAATTGTCCCAAGGAGTAAAATTTAAAGCCACATACTACTTACATGTGTATTCGCCCTTTAAATACTACTGATATGCAAACATCGTTTCCCGTTTTCATTCAAATAATAAAAAAAAAAAAAACTCAAGTAGATATTAGCTAGTATTTTGAAACGTGTGATGAACCAGTCAGTGAATTACCTCTATATAATTTTGTCATTATTTCTCATTTAACACACACGTTGAATAAATAAGAGCTTTTTACAAGTCAATAAACTTGTATTACTAATTAAACAGTTCTAATGTTTAAGGTAAATATTATTGATTTTTATATGCATCTAATTCTTGTAAATGTACAAACTAATTAAAACATTAACAGCATTGTTTATTGTGACGATTAGTTCAGGTTTTGATAATGGTATTATCTATTGAATGACTATTTCATGGTCCTTCATATCAATTAATTCTGTGGACAAAATAATTATATAAACAATAAAAAAGCTTTTTATAATAAGATAATAACCACTAATTGTTTACCAGTCAATTAAGAATTGTTCTTATATACAAGATATCACAAAATTTATT